CCTGTGAAGTAAAAGACTTGAAAGTCCGAAAGATGATGAAAAGATTAGCAGCCAGAACAAATGCATGTTTACTCAAATGTAAGTCCCTGCAGAGTTCAGTGGGCCTTACTTCCTGGCAAGCATGCCTAGGATTGCAGCCTTAAACCATGAAATGATAAAAAGAATTAGATGAGGAATGGCATGAATGGTTTTTAGAACAATGCATGCCATGAGCTTTACTGAGACTACCGAAACTATTCAAAGTACAATCTTATTTTAAAATTGAAAAAAGAAATCCAAACGTATTAAGAGAATGTTATTTAACTGTATTAGAAGTCTATTGAAATTAATGTCAAGAAACTATTAGCATGTCAGGGTAGGGGCTATAGCTCAGTGGTAGAGCACAGACTTGGCATATAGAAAGGCCCAGATTTAATCCCTACCATATCCAGTGTTTTCAAAAGGTAGCTGATGATATGCTTGAGATCCAGGCAGCCACTGCTGGTCAGAGTACCTGTACTGTACTGTATACCAGGTCGATAGACAAATGATACAGACAAATTGGCTAAGGTTGCTTCCTATGTGTCTCTAAGCAAAGATCACACTTTTAAGTCATTTGCATAAGGACGCTTTCTTGCATCATTTGTGCAAAAGTCAGCAGTGGCATTTGCTCATCCCATTAGACGCCAATACATAATTTGCTACGGCATATTAAAAAAGGAAATTAACTGCCAAAGTCTTGCTGAAAGATCATGCTTTTGGTTAGTAAATGATCCATGCCAAATGTCTTTCTGGCCTTCAGGAAAGCATCAGCAACTGAGAGCCAGGATTCCACTCTCAATCTTTGTAGATGATTAAAGTGGGGGGAAGCAGGACAGTTCTGGATGTTTCTGTTGTTTTGCAGTGATTGCCTACTGGGGGGATTTGAATGCAAAGGTTTGCTGAAGGTTACCACAACAATCAAGTGAAGAGGCATTTTGGAAAGCAATTGCCATACAGAATTCAGGCCTCTCTATTCCAAGCACGCACTATTAGTCAGCTTTATTTGAATGGGATCCTTGTAAGACAAGTGTGGCATAGTGGAAAGCATATCAGACAAGGCTGTGGAGAGCTGGGTTCAGGAATTGATGATGGATTACTTTTATTACTATGAATCTTCTCTGTAAGGGTCATTAATGTTGTTACACGGTATCCTCTGGCTTGCTAGAATAAATCTAACACTATATGAGGGGGGAAAGAGTAAATTAGATAAGTTTTTTTCTGAGCTATACAATTCTGTTCATATTTATATTTATCTACTGCATATCAGATTGTGTGTATCTATCCAGCCCCACATATCAACTCAATTTTGGCTTGATCAGTAAAGTTTCACTTCTGTCTCCTTGTTACACTAGAAAAGAGACACACTTAGGTTGTTGTCATGGTCCCTGTTTCTAACAGTGTAGGGTTAAGAAACTGAAGCCGTGGTCTCTGGGTGTAATCCTGTATCCTTTCTCAGAAGGACAGACAATAAACTAGCCCTTAAGGTATGCTGGCAAGCTCCCAGATCTTCTTCCATATCATTGTTCTTCATTTCCAGTCCTACAGTGTTGTTTGGTATACCCTCTCAGAGTTCTCCTAAATGATGGGTACGTTGTGTTCTGTGCACAGTCATACACAGCAAGGCCTGAGACAGGGAAACGTATCCTGTCTTCAAGATACCACACAGGCTAGAATTGCATTAGATGCCTTTCCTAGCATCTCATTTGCGCTTACAACTTACAAGAACAAAACCATTTGGTAAAAGGTTCCATATGCTGATTCCTCTGTTGGATCAAGATCCGACAGAGGAATCAGCATATGGAACCTTTTACCAAATGGTTTTGTTCTTGCAAAGCTTAACTTGCTTATCCCTTTTGCCAGTAACCTTTCAGAAATCTCGGCAGAGAAAGTGAAACATTTTGAACTCTGCAGGTGAAGGTGATCAGAGCAAAAGGAAGTTACAGGTTGGGAGGTAAAATCTGCATGTGGTAGTACAGTTGATCTCTTCAAACTAAACAGGCAGGCTGGGAGCATTTCCATACAGTATGAGATGGTTATTAGAATTAATGCAATACCAGCACTACAAAACAGGTTGCAGAGGTGGGACAAAACTGGTTTTCTTCTCCTGAAAAGAGCGCAGTAAAAAAAAATTGCACAAGAAAAGCAGCTGTGCTCAGTTATTACGTGATGCACACAAATGTCTAAGTGAAGCTCATTCAAATTGCCAGACTATGTGGAATGACATGAAAATATGTCCCATTGAATTCAGTAGGGAGCATAGTCAGAATCAGGCTCTTGCCATGGCCAGAAATGAGTCGTAAGTGCTGAATAACTCTTAACAGGATTTTCTGCCTTTCACAGAGAGTAAATATGACTTCTTTCAGTGGCAAGCAGTCATATAAGCCTGTATTTAATTATACATTGGCTCCATAAAACATAAGCATTTATTCAACAGGAAGGCCGTAGAAAGCTGACTGTGTCTAGTTATCTTACAGCCAAAACACAACAGAAATCTGTGAGACAATGAAGCAATCCTTCATCATGTATAAAAGGACTTTTAAAAGCAAGCTCGTTCTACCATGTCGGAATGACATCAGGCTTTCAGATAATGAATAATAGTAATGATGAACATCAAGCTGCTTGTCTAAAAATAAAATTGAACTACAATTGGATATTGTCATGTTGACACAAATCATGCCTCTGATGCCCATCTGTAAAGAGTGTGGCACCGTGAACTTTTTGCAATAGGGCTGAATAATTACCCTGTGTTTCTCCAAAAGAAAGGAGCATTTGTTGATGATGCATGCTTTTGTTGCCTCCCATGAAAGATTGTGATGAATCACTGAATGGTGTGTAATGTAAGTATATGTCAACATACTCAGTATGCGTCTAGTCTTACCACCTACCTCCTCCATTGTTTGAATGCTGTAAGCATAAGAAAGCCATTGTCCATTTCTTGCAGTGTTCACCATTGTCCAGTCTTCAGGGAAACAGCCAGTGGGTCACCTCAGAAGTAATAAAAAAAAATGAACAGTGGGAGGGGGGGTAGTTAGTGACTACACAGTCTTTTTTGATGAAAAAAGGGGGAGGAGATGTTATGGGGAAAACTGAAAATCCTTTCTAATTCCTGCTGTACACCCCGTAACTAGAACAGCTATACAATACTGATGTTTCAAACCATTCGAAATGAAAGCAGCCCAAGCAAAATGATTATTGTTGTAAATGATCATACAAAGGGAAGCTGAAGTTTTGAGACTAAAGGTAGAAAAAAGACCGCTCAAAATTTTCAGTGATATTTATGCTTTTCATCCCACTTGCGCTAGTGGAGGCCTTGTAAAGCAAACAACAGCTTCAGAAAGGCTTGTCAGAACTATAGCACAGGGAGAGCTAAATTCTCCCTCCCTACCTGCCATGGTCCCAATACAGTGGTACCTTGGGTTACATACGCTTCAGGTTACATACACTTCAGGTTACAGACTCTGCTAACCCAGAAATATTACCTTGGGTTAAGAACTTTGCTTCAGGATGAGAACAGAACTCGTGCTCCGGCGGCGCAGCCGCTGGAGGCCCCATTAGCTAAAGTGCTGCTTCAGGTTAAGAACAGTTTCAGGTTAAGGACGGACCTCCAGAACAAATTAAGTTCTTAACCCGAGGTACCACTGTACTTCTCTCTGGCTGATATTTGCATAACAAAAAAAAATGTTATACTGATTGCAAATACGTTGATTGTATTGTGGCCCTCTGGATGATTGTATTGTAGAGTTGAGAGGGACTCTAAGGGTCAGTGTTGAACTCCAACTCCCATCAGCACCAACATCGGCCTATATTGTCTGGGAACTATAGTCTAACAATGTCTGAAGCAGCAGTAGTTCCCCACCCTGTCCCAAGGAAAATACCCAGAAGTCTTTCTTTGCAACCCTATCTTCAATTCCTCTGCCTCCAGCTTAAGGAGGGAAGTCTTGGCAAATGAAAGAACAAAAAAAACCAGAGGACTACTGTGGTCCCATCAGTAGCCTTCCAGCACTCTGATAGTCAGCCTGCCTCTACTACTACCCTTCCTCCCAAACAGATTTTTTGTTTATGTGGTGCATCCTGCAGCAGTACAGGAGCCTCGAGGCTTTAGGGTCCAGAATCCCTACTTGGGGGAAACAAGTAAAAATCAACATCTGTGGCAGTTTTTCCATAAGTCTTTGACCTTAAGATGGTGGTTCAGTAAGCTGTGTGCCCTGTAAAAAGGACCAAAAGGAAGTACATATAGTGTATGTTTAGACTCCAGAATTTGTTTTTATGTGATGGCCAGCAACTTGAACGGCTTTAAAAGAATGGGGAATAAGGTTGCTAATGCCTACTAGTAGTGATGGTTGTATTACCTCCAGGATCCAAGGTGGTATGTCTCTGAATACCAGTTGCTGGGGAACGCAAGCAGGAAGAGTGCTCTTCCGCTCCCATAGGAATCTGGTTGTCTGTTATGGGACCAGGATACTGGACCGGATAGGTTTTTGTTATGATCCAGTAGGGTCCTTATTCTGTTCTTATGAGCCACATCTATAGCTAGCCTTATCCCTGGGGGTTTTCACTGAACATTCATTGTGTCATATTCCAGCTCCTAGCCGATGCAATTACTGACTTCAGGAAAGTGGGGAAAGGAAGTGGTTTGAAAAATGACAGCCCCCTGCACAACCTAACATCAGAGAAGCTGCAAGTGAAAGATGCTGTAAAGTGAAAGATTGACGTTGGAGAGGGAAGGAGATTTCACTCAGCCACATGTGCGTTCCAGGACCTCAAATGCCCAGGGTCTCATTTATGAGCTCTTCAATAACGTCCCACCTTCCATTCGGTAACTCTGTGCTGTTTGATATGGGCTGATATGAAATTGCAAGAACGTGGCTTCCAGTGGGGAAACAGGCCAATGAAATAAGGAAGCCCCCAGCACCTTTCATTTGAAGACCGAACTGTAGAAAATCATTAAAACGATAGCCAACATTTATTTTATGTTTTAGGGGGCGACTGAGAAAACAAACTTAAAGTCGGAAAGAATGGCTATCAGGGACGGCGGCAGTGGGAATGGAATGAATGAAGAGGTGGGATCCAGTGGAGAATGTGATGATGAGGACGGATGTCAAGGATCTGGTGAGAGAAGCCTCACGAAAGGTAGGTCCAATAGTTTTGCATAGATTCACTAAGCTGTACATCCAGGTACTACACTAACCCTTGGATAGGTAACCTGTAGCCTTCCAGATGTTGCTAAGACTCCAACATGACTAATGGGTGGGTGGTGTAGTGCAGCAACATCTGGAGAGCCACAGGCTCCCCATTTCTGCGCAAAACAATGATTTGATGCTATGGGAACGAACCTAGTCTCCTCCTGCCACCACTACTGTCCCATCTTCTTATGTGGCATTCAAAAACATTTTCCTTCCCATTTCAGCAGCTTCTTGTGTTGTGTGGGCCCGCTCTTGTTGCTTAACATTAGCTGTGAGAATCAAAACAAGCCAGCTTCAAACCACGGGCTGTGAATCGGGCGTGCTGGAACTAGTTTGGGCACGGCAGGAAGGCATGACGCTTCCAAACTGCTTCTTTCAGCCGCACTCAAAAAGGGACAGGCGAATGGTGAGCACGCATGCCCAGGAGGAAGCCAGGCTCATTCACGTAGCACTAAGCCATGGTTCAGCGTGAAGTCTAACCACAACCACTGTGACTTAAGCCTTTCTTGGATAGTACTCTGGCTCCACAAATTTTAAAATAACAACTGCTAGTTCTTTTGACATGGACATAGTCGAAATAAGGAAGCATAGCACTTGAACCAAAGTTTTGCCATTTGATTATGGTATTTTACTGAAGGTGTATTGCCCGTCTGCTCATCCACAGTTCATTGTCTTCTCTGGTGTTTCTGTAAAGGAATGGTGACTTGTTTGCGGGGCAGGGCATGTGTTATGGATAATGCTGATGGAGTAAACGTCTAAGCCTAAGGCAGTGTGCTGCTTTATAGGATAGGAGCTATGTTTCATCCGTGATTATAGGTTCTTCGCCTTAGGCCATACTGCAGTGGTGACTTCTAATTTAAAGCCATTATTTCTACGTTAATGTGCATTCTAGAAAACCCTGTGCAATGTTTTCCTTCCTGTGTTTTCCAGCCTGGATTTTAGACTTGTTAAGTGCTTTAAGTAACATGTTTTCTCTTCAAAGCGGTGCAAATTAAACAGCAGCCAGGTGCTACTAAGTATTTTTTAATTGACTATTAGACTATTTAAATGCTATAGCTGTGCCAGAATCTACCAAGGCTCTATTGTCTCTCAGACACTCAGTAATGTAAAATGAAAAGCATTGAAATCTTGTTCAATAGTTGGCTCATCTACACAATATGTGAAATCTGCATTCCTCCCTCCCCCTGATATTGCCACAGATGGAAGTGAGAAAGAGAAAAAATGTTTTTTCATAACTAGTGATGAAATTATTTGGTAGAAACCATATATTCCAAAAATATAGTTCATATAAAGTGTTGCACATGCTTTATATGTATAGCATTAACAGCAGCAATTCCACTTGAAAAAATTATAATGGTATTTTGTAATTAACTCTAAAGTAGTGTTATGTGTTTAGGCCGCTAGCTGTAAATCTGTTTTGCATATTCCGATGCAATTAAGAGAGAGAGTGGGAGTCATCTAATTAAAGGGCTCCTTTGCTTTTACAGTAGTATGATTTTTCAGAATCCTAGTAATTTCAATCCATTGTCAGTTTTGTATAATGCCGTAAACCTTGGTCTATTTAAATTGGTACCATAGTGTGGATGTGTGTATTTCACAGCTTGAGACATACCCAGAATAATTGTTCCATTTATATTGTTAGCACCAGTTTGAGCTTTCTGTCTGCCCTCTCTTAGCAGCCACCCTAATCTAATGCAGAATTTGGTGCGACAGTGCTAGCACATAGAATGTTTGTTCGCGATTGGCCACCCCCAAATTGCCATGGCCATCTGAATAGGGTTAACTGGAAAGGAAGGTCAATTGTTTACAAAGATGTGGGGATGGAATCAAATTGCTTGGATTTGTTTTGGAGGGGGCATTTATTTTAGTTGCAGGGAATGAAAAGCTTTTGCAGTCATGCGCCTTTGAGGGTGATAGAGGGCTTCCTCTCCTCTCTCTGCTGGTTCCAGCTTCTCCTGGTTCTTTAAGCAAATGTCATGGCTCCAGATACTGGAAGTGGAGGAAAGCACCTGCACCACAGTGCAAAAGCTCCAATCACTGTGACTTTAAGAGTTGAAGGGAACGTGGTGGGGGAGGGGAGAAGTTACCTGCCCCCCTCACAAGCAGTGGCAGGGCAAAGATAAAAAGAGGAGGACTTGTCACCATTTCTGTCCCTAAGGTAAGCAGTCTCACCTGATTTGGCAAGATGGTGTGCCCTCCACTTCCAAAATTCCCCTCATTTGGGGGGTGGGATGGGGACAGGGAAAATAGTGCCCAGAAGTTGAGGGAAGAGGAAATGGAGAACGATTCATTACGTGCATATGCAATGTTCAGTTAGCAGAAAGTGATAATTCCTCGAGTATCTTACAATTAAGCTTCTCCAAGCAATTCAATGTGATAGGAGACACTTCCCTTAAATAATAGCCAGTATTTAAAGAAGCGTGTGCTAAAGCATTAAGAGGATGAATTCCTTTCATCGTTTGGATCCTGTGTAGCTTTCTCTACAGTGGATAAAATATTTAGTAGTCAATGAGCAAATGTTCCAAGCATATTATAGAAAGAAATGAACTGTTTTTTCTTCTCCTGAAAAGAGCGCAGTAAAAAAAATTGCACAAGAAAAGCAGCTGTGCTCAGTTATTACGTGATGCACACAAATGTCTAAGTGAAGCTCATTCAAATTGCCAGACTATGTGGAATGACATGAAAATATGTTCCCATTGAATTCAGTAGGAGCATAGTCAGAATCAGGCTCTCTTGCCATGGCCAGAAATGAGTCGTAAGTGCTGAATAACTCTTAACAGGATTTTCTGCCTTTCACAGAGAGTAAATATGACTTCTTTCAGTGGCAAAGCAGTCATATAAGCCTGTATTTAATTATACATTGGCTCCATAAAACATAAGCATTTATTCAACAGGAAGGCCGTAGAAAGCTGACTGTGTTAGTTATCTTACAGCCAAAACACAACAGAAATCTGTGAGACAATGAAGCAATCCTTCATCATGTATAAAAGACTTTTAAAAGCAAGCTCGTTCTACCATGTCGGAATGACATCAGGCTTTCAGAGATAATGAATAATAGTAATGATGAAATCAAAGCTGCTTGTCTAAAAATAAAATTGAACTACAATTGGATATTGTCATGTTGACACAAATCATGCCTCTGATGCCCATCTGTAAAGAGTGTGGCACCGTGAACTTTTTGCAATAGGGCTGAATAATTACCCGTGTTTCTCCAAAAGAAAGGAGCATTTGTTGATGATGCATGCTTTTGTTGCCCTCCATGAAAGATTGGATGAATCACTGAATGGTGTGTAATGTAAGTATATGTCAACATACTCAGTATGCGTTCTAGTCTACCACCTACCTCCTCCATGTGTTGAATGCTGTAAGCATAAGAAAGCCATTGTCCATTTCTTGCAGTGTTCACCATTGTCCAGTCTTCAGGAAACAGCCAGGGTCACCTCAGAAGTAATAAAAAAAAATGAACAGTGGGAGGGGGTAGTTAGTGACACCAGTCTTTTTGGATGAAAAAAGGGGGAGGGAGATGTTATGGGGGAAAACTGAAAATCCTTCTAATTCCTGCTGTTACACCCCGAACTAGAACAGCTATACAATACTGATGTTTCAAACCATTCGAAATGAAAGGCAGCCCAAGCAAAATGATTATTGTTTGTAATGATTCATACAAAGGGAAGCTGAAGTTTTGAGACTAAAGGTAGAAAAAAGACCGCTCAAATTTTCAGTGATATTTATGCTTTTCATCCCACTTCGCTAGTGGAGGCCTTGTAAAGCAAACAACAGCTTCAGAAAGGCTTGTCAGAACTATAGCACAGGGAGAGCTAAATTCTCCCTCCCTACCTGCCATGGTCCCAATACAGTGGTACCTTGGGTTACATACGTCTTCAGGTTACATACACTTCAGGTTACAGACTCTGCTAACCCAGAAATATTACCTTGGGTTAAGAACTTTGCTTCAGGATGAGAACAGAACTCGTGCTCCGCGGCGCAGCCGCTGGAGGCCCCATTACTAAAAGGTGCTGCTTCAGGTTAAGAACAGTTTCAGGTTAAGGACGGACTCCAGAACAAATTAAGTTCTAACCCGAGGTACCACTGTACTTCTCTCTGGCTGATATTTGCATAACAAAAAAAAATGTTATACTGATTGCAAATACGTTGATTGTATTGTGGCCCTCTGGATGATTGTATTGTAGAGTTGAGAGGGACTCTAAGGGTCAGTGTTGAACTCCAACTCCCATCAGCACCAACATCGGCCTATATTGTCTGGGAACTATAGTCTAACAATGTCTGAAGCAGCAGTATGCCCCACCCTGTCCCAAGGAAAATACCCAGAAGTCTTTCTTTGCAACCCTATCTTCAATTCCTCTGCCTCCAGCTTAAGGAGGGAAGTCTTGGCAAATGAAAGAACAAAAAAAACCAGAGGACTTACTGTGGTCCCATCAGTAGCCTTCCAGCACTCTGATAGTCAGCCTGCCTCTACTACTACCCTTCCTCCCAAAACAGATTTTTTGTTTATGTGGTGCATCCTCAGCAGTACAGGAGCCTCGAGGCTTTAGGGTCCAGAATCCCTACTTGGGGGAAACAAGTAAAAATCAACATCTGGGCAGTTTTTTCCATACAGTCTTTGACCTTAAGATGGTGGTTCAGTAAGCTGTGTGCCCTGTAAAAAGGACCAAAAGGAAGTACATTAATGTGTATGTTTAGACTCCAGAATTTGTTTTTATGTGATGGCCAGCAACTTGAACGGCTTTAAAAGAATGGGGAATAAGGTTGCTAATGCCTACTAGTAGTGATGTTGTATTACCTCCAGGATCCAAGTGGTATGTCTCTGAATACCAGTTGCTGGGAACGCAAGCAGGAAGAGTGCTCTTCCGCTCCCATAGGAATCTGGTTGTCTGTTATGGACCAGGATACTGGACCGGATAGGTTTTTGTTATGATCCAGTAGGTCCTTATTCTGTTCTTATGACCACATCTAT